CCTTCTTCTCTCATCTCATTTAGAATGAAATCCAAAGTCTTCATGACACTCAGGAGGTCGGCATGCCATAACCCCACTGTCCCCTCTATCCTCATTGCCCTGCAGATACTCTGGACTCTGGCTCCCCTCAGACAAGCACCCCTACCTCAGGGCCTTTGCACATCCCACCCATCTGCTAGAAAGCTCTTCCCCTAGGCATGTGCACGGCTGGCCTCACTTCATTCACACCAAAGCTCATCTTACTTGCTTGCCTATGATCTGTCTCCTTGCAAGAACCAAAGCTCCCAGGACACAGGGGCCTCATTTTCCTCCTGCTTCCCCAGCACCTGGGGTGATGGCTGGCACATAGTAGGTATTCAGTAACATGAGTTATGAATAAATTAGTGAGTGGGGATGCTGCCAGCCACGACGTCTGGAGACTGTGTCCTGGCTGGAGGGGTGTGTCCTGAGCCACACCCTCTGTTCTGGACAGGTCCCCAATGAGCCCCCGCCCCCACCCAACTACACAGACCACCCAGCTGCTTTCTCTGACCTTCGTACATGAAGCCCCCCCTGGCTTCTTCACAGACCCTCTTTTCTTCCATTCAAACCCTTCTTCTACCTCCTGGCCAAGCTCACTTAATTGTCCTAGCGGCTGGAGGACACTGTGTCACTGCTGTGTCTAGGGGGAGTATGGGGGAGCTCTGCAAAGGGGCTAGTGTTAGACAAGTACCAGTTCAGGGTAGAGTTCCATGCACCAGCGCCCTTTTCCAAAGGGTAGGGGGTCTTCCCTGTTGCACCTGGTGGGTGGTGGGTGGTGGATATTGACCAGGCAACAGCGAAGTTCCTCATTTGTCCTGGCCTCACTGGTGGAGATGGGACCCCCGTGGAACTGACTGCCTCAGGCGTTCTGTGCGTCCCCCCCCACCCCTTGCCCTGGTGACTTGCTGTATCCAGCAAGCAGGAAGCAGCTGCCCCGTGCACAAAGAGCAGAGCTTTCCTCTGCAGTGAATCCTGGCGGGCAAATGCCAAGGGGGCACTCCTGCCAGCCTGGGTGCTCAAGGGTGATGAGCTGAGTCCTGCCGCCCCAAGGACACCGTGTGCTATTTAGGCCACTGACACTGGCTTCTGCACAAACAGCACATCGTGGGCATTTCATTACTGTCCGGTGGGTGCATTACTGTCCACTGTACCCCAAAGTGCCAAGTTCCTGGAGCCTGTTGGAGAGTTTGTCCTCTTCCGTGTGTGCCAGCCATAGTTCCAGGAGGAATACCGTGCAGCCTGGCGGGTACAATGTAGGGAAAGGGATTTGCATTTCCAGCCAATCACCCACCGTGCACCAGGCCCTGTGTGTGTGAATGATCTTGTGTGTCAGAGACCCCAATCCCCCAAACGGAGCCCCAAGGCACTAAGTCCTCAGCCAGAATCCTACACACAGCCGCTGGCCACACCCCAGTGGTTGGCTGCCCCTGTTAAAACCACTTCCAGCTCCAGGCTCAGAGCACCTCGCTAAGGCCAGGGGTTGGGGTCCAAAGCCATCCCTGTTGAAGCTCATAGCAGGAGGAAGAAGAGAGCGAGAACCAATAAACCAAATCAGCAGGCAAACACAACTGAGAGCTGTAGCACAGAGGGAGCACACGGGCCCACCCGGCTTTGGCGTGATTCAGAGATCCGCTTTGCTCTTTCCTCTGCTGCCACCCAGCACCCCCAAAGAGAGGTTGACCCGCAGCCAATCAGTTCCCTTCGACCTCAGCTCAACATTGGGGTGGGGGCAGGCAAGTAGCCCTTTGAGAATCTGCTTAAACGTGGGAAAAGCTTTCTTCTCAGGAAAATGCACGTGCCCAAGTTTGTGAAAACACCTGTAGGGGTACTCCAGGGATGCCAGGTAAAGAACTCCCTTTCAGAATCTAAATTTTAGATGAGGAGTGGTGTTGTTTGTACTCTATGGCCATCGAATCCTTGATTTCCTGAGGCCCAGGCGTGAAGAGCAAAACCTCCCAACTGAAGGCACCTGGAACCAGGATGTGGTCAGAGGGTGACAAAGCTTCCTGGGCTGGGACCAAAACAGAAATCCAAGAACAGACCCCTGATTCTATAAAAGCATATGTGATGTACTGGGGGCACTTCAAATCCATGGAAGAAAGGGCAGACGACTTTAGAAACAGTGTTGGGATGAGTGCTTGCTAGTTCAGCTTTTCCTCCTTAACGAACCACCCCAAATCTTAGTGGCTTAATGCAATCAGTTATTTGCTCGTGATTCTGTGGGTGGACAATTTGGGCTTTGCTCAAATAGGACGGTGACTTTGCTGGCTTCACCTGAGCTCCCCCGACCCTCTTAGTAATTGACACATTCCTCAAGCATGCAGCAGGTTAATGCATGTTCAACAAGCATGCAGCAGTTTGTCTCAGGCGCCTTCAAGCGACAGCTACTCTCCAAAGAGAGATCAATCAGCCAGGGAGATCAAGTCCCATTGCACAAACACTTCTGTGCATCACATTTGTACCATTGCCTAAAGCAAGTCACGTGGCCAATCCCAGATCCAGGAGTGAAAAGATGGACCCCATCTCTTCATGAGAGAGGAGGCAAAAAGGCACGTGAGAGGGTCTCGAGCAATTTGTGGTCACGTGTTGTTTGCAATCTACCATACTTAGCCTTTTGAGAAAAGAATTAACTTAGAAACTTGCCTCAAATAGGACATTCACCAAAATGTACTCCCAATTGGAGTAAAATTTAAATATAAAAAATGAAACTGTGACAGTATTTGAGGACAGTATTGGTGAATATTTCTATGTCCTTGGAGGAGAAAAAACCCTTATGGTGAAAAAGTAAAAGTCAGAAACCATAAAGATAGTTATTTTGGCATGCATTCTTTTTTTTTCAATTTTTTTTTTTTTTTTATTTTTGGCTGCATTGGGTCTTCGTTGCTGTGTGCAGGCTTTTACTAGTTGCAGTGAGCCGGGGCTGCTCTTCGTTGTGGTGTGTGGGCTTCTCATTGCGGTGGCTTCTCTCCGCTGTGGAACACTAGCTCTAGGTGCGTGGGCCTCAGCAGTTGTGGCACACGGGCCCAGTAGCTGTGGCTCGTGGGCTCCAGAGCGCAGGCTCAGCAGTTGTGGCACACCGGCTTAGTCGCTCCGTGGCATGTGGGATCTTCCGGACCAGGGCTCGAACCCTTGTCCCCTGCATTGGCAGGTGGATTCTTAACCACTGTGCCACCAGGGAAGTCCCAGGTGTGCCTTCTTAACAATTAAAATTATTCTTTTAAAATATCATGAACAAAATTAAAAGCCAAAATATAAATTGGAAAATTATTTGCAACACAAGTTTCAGAAAGAACGATTTAATACCCTTTATATTTTGAGAGTTTATATCAGAAAGAAACGGCAAATGACATGATCAAATCTTGATAGAGGACACGGAAAATAATCACCAGCATTTTGTATGTTTTCTAAATGAATAAACAGCCAACAACACATGAAAATATGCTCAACCCACTCTTAATTAAAGAAATACAAATTAAAACAACAAGGTGCCATTTTCACTTACTGAGTTGGCAAAGAGTTTTGTTTTGTTATTATTTTTTGTTAATAGGCAGTGCCCAGTATTATCAGTAAGTGATAGTGAGTAAAGAGGAGCTCCTGAACTAGGTCCCTCTGAGGATAGAGATCTCCTTGGTCCAACTCACAGATTCATTCTTTCAACCAATGTTATTGAGCACCTACCATGTGCTGGGCACAGCCTAGACTCTAGAGCCTCCACTCAGAAGGTGACATTTGTGCAAAGATCTGAAAGTGAGAAATGAGCCGTATGGCTATCTGTGGAAAAGGTCTCCCAGGCAGAGGAAACAGCGACATGAGCCCTGAAGATCCAACACATCCAGGGATCAGCCAGGGCCCAAGGGGCTCACGTGGAGCAGCTGAGGGAGAAGGTTAGGAGGACGTCAGAGGAGGTGGGGCATGGTGGGGCCTCTGCACGTCTTGAGGGCCCTCACGAGCACCACATTGGCTTTTATTCTGAGTGCTGTGGGAGCAGAAGGGGAACAGGTTGACTTGGGTGTTAGCAGATCCCTCTGGCTAGTGCGTTGAGAATAGACTGGGGTGCCAGAGTAAAGCTTCTGCAACAACCCAGGTGAGAAGGGATGGTGGGCCCTGAGTAACTGGTGAGATGCAAATAAGTGATCAATTCTGTATGTGTATTGGAGCTCACCTGGTAGGATTTCCTGATAAACTGGATGTGGGGTGGAGGGAAAGAGAAGATGACTCCAAGGTTCTGGCCTGAACAACTCAAAGGATGGAGCTGCCCTCCATGGAGGTGAGAAAGCTCAGAGGAGCAGGTCTGGGGAGAGTATTGGAGCTCAGTCCTTGTCACGGATGTTGCAGTGGCGATGTTGAGTGGCAGGTGGACCCATGAGCCTGAGGTCACCTTAGCTGTGGTAACTTGATCTTGGAATTCCCAGCCTCCAGGATTAGGAGAAATAAATTTCTGTTGTTTCTAAGCTCTTTGATATCCAATTTTTTGTCTTCTTGATTTGACAAGGACTGAAAACGATGGAGTGACACTTCCCCTCCTATTATTTTTTTGATTTCTTTTCATTTTTTTGCCTTCAGTTTTGGAATATATATATACGTATATGTATATATATACAAATTGATGAATATTGTATCCATACTACATATAGTAAATGTTAATCATTAAGAAATTAATTATTTATGGACTTCCCTGGTGGCACAGTGGTTAAGAAACCGCCTGTTAATGCAGGGGACACGGGTTTGAGCCCTGGTCTGAGAAGATCCCACATGCCACGGAGCAAATAAGCCGGTGCACCACAACTACTGAGCCTGCGCTCTAGAGCCCGCGAGCCACAACTACTGAGCCCACGTGCCACAACTACTGAAGCCCGTGCTCCGCAACAAGAGAAGCCACTGCAATGAGAAGCCTGTGCACCTCAAAGAGTAGCCCCCACTCACCACAACTAGAGAAAGCCTGTGTGCAGCAATGAAGACCCAACACAGCCAAAAATAAATAAATTTTAAAAATAATAAATTTATTTTTAAAAAAGAAATTAATTATTTGGAATTATATTTTGACCCTTTTATTTAACAAATATTTCTAGAGCACCACCACATTTTGGGGCATTGTCCTAGGCCCTTTGTCTCATCAGCAAAGTGCCACAGAATTGACTCTGCACTGCACTCTCCCATTTTTTTCATCGTGATAGTGTCACTGATGGCATACTTTCTCCATATTCTGTACCTTATGCCAGTTTTGCTATTTACGAAGCTATTTGTGATCAACTCTGTGGTATCATCTGCTTCTATGCCCTATGTCTAACTTTATGTGAGAGTATGTAATGCTTGCCATGTAACCTTCCTATAAATCGCAAAATATGTATTTTTAAAACTTTTTATGATAAAGCAGTAATTCTAATTCATGGTAGAAATTTTGGGAAATATGGAAAAACATGTAAGATAAAAAAAATTTTAAAGCCTATGATCCCTGCAGCCCAAAATAGTATTTCCTCCTGGTATTTTTTTCTATATATATTTTCGTGCATTTTCCAACTTTTGCATAATGAACATGCTGTCGCATTTGAAACCAGAAAACAAACATTTGCAGTTACAGTAGGGTTCTGTCATGCTCTTTGCAGGCTTGGCCAGAGAGAGGAAATGAGAAGATAAACAGCAGGATAGGTCTCCCCATTGTCACTGCTGCAGTGACTCTGAGACGGAGACTTGATTGTTCTCAGGGGCTGCAGTACTTGGTGGGTCTGCTCCGCTGCACGTTTTCACCCTGCATTCCAGGCTGCCTGAGCTCTTGGCAGATTAAAAACAAACATAGCTGACATCTGGATGGTTTTGAAGTGTCTGCTGAGAAATGCCAAATGTGACGTTCACTCAGAATAATTCCTTAATGTTTTCTAATACCTAGTTCCTCGTTCCATTTTCCCCCGAATCTCAAAAATATCTTTTTACAATTTGTTAGAAACAGTATCCAAAGAACCACAGCGTCCTCTAATGTCTGTAACATTTTACACTGTCTTTCCTTCCCAGGGCCTGTACGGTCGGGCGCGGGGAGTCCTCTGTCCTGCGCACACCAATCCCCAGAATCTAAGCGCCGACCAGCGCCCCTAACCTCGGAAGCAAGCTTCAGCCTCCATCAAGAGCACCGCAGAAGGGAGCAAGCGTCGGTGGTTACCATGGAATTCCAGCGTGCGGCTCTGATTAGCTGAGACACCTCCCGCTCGCCCACTCCGCTCCGCGCCGGGGGAGGGATACCCAGAGGCAGAGATTTCTCGGGGACTTCTGGGAAAAAGTAAGTCCTTGAGAACGAAAGCGGAAGCGGCGCGGCCCGAGGCCTTCTGGGAGTCGCAGTTCGTCGTCGTCAGGCGCTTTCGGACCCGCAGGCGGAGCCGCTTGGTTTCACGTGAGGTCCGTGCGGACTGGGGCCCTGCTGCCCCACCTCGTCTCCGGCCGGGAGCAGGGGACGCTCGGCGCTGGGGCCTGGCGAGGAGCGGGACCCCGGGTTCCCTAGAGGACGCGGAGGCCCAGGGCATTCCCTGTGCCGAGGAAGAGCGGAGGTGGAAGGAGAAAGAAATGTCAAGAAGAGAACTGCTTAAAGGGAAACTAAACCGAGCCAGAGTTTCCTTGCTGTGACAGCACATTGGGTGCAGTGGGCCAAAATTTTTATCTCCGGACTGCAGCCTGCGACCCCTAGACGGTGAGCCTTTGCTAAAATGTTTGTTTGAAGATCCGAAATTTGACTTGAAACAATTGTTTTTTGGGAGGACTTGTGGAGGACTTGCATTTATCCATACACTATAATCTACACCTTTCCAAGATTTTCTGTTCTTAACACTTGCTGAAAATTATTTGAGTATGCAAACCTTGATTTAATTAAGAAAGCAAAGTATTGGCTTCCACAGTTTAAGTGACCATTCATTTGGGATTCTCAGAAGTTTGTATTTGTGAAAAAGAAAAAGGAACAGTTCTCTAGTGCCTTACCTCTCTTTGTACCAGAACATCTCTTATGTTTATGATTGGTGAAAATGCTGTTGCCTCTAGTTAGTGATTCTACCCAAACGTTGACTGTGATCTTAGATCACCTTATCATACTGCCCTTCTGTTTTCAACCAGTCTGATAACACCTCCCTCTAAGGCTCTGTGTGTGTCTTCTCTAGTTTTGTGTCTTGTTTTTTGTGTTGACTGGAGGACAGTAAGTCTTTGTCCTTCGACACAGACTTTTGGGAGACTCAGATTATATCCTTTTAAAAACTGATAGCGCTAGTGCTTTAAAATTTTCAAAATATTTACGTGATGACAGTTTTGATTTTGTTGCATATTTTCTTTCCCCATGAGCAGAATTCTCAGTTTCTAAAATGTGTCTCAGCCCAGGAAAGAATTGTGGAGATCCTGTGAGATGCTGAGGTCTCCAGAGGCACTTATTCAGATGAGGGATAATCTGTGCACCTTAGGGGTGAATGTTTAGGAGGAGTGGAATCTCTAAAATGTTGTCCAAGGAGCTCTCCTTAATGCCTTAAATTCTGCTATTCTGTTCAGAGTTGGACCTTCTCTCTTTTTTTTTTTTTTTTTTTTTGACATGGAATATGTTGTTTTTTTTTACCACAGTGAGAAACCTTACATTTATAAGGTTTCTCCCCAGTATGAATTCTCAGATGTTGAACAAGAAATGAATTTACAGTGAATGCTTTTCCACAAACTTTACATTTATAGGGTTTTTCTCCAGTATGAGTTCTCTGATGTTCAGTAAGAGATGAACTCTGGATAAATGCTTTTCCACAGTCATCACACATATAATGTTTCTCACCGGTATGAATTCATGTACGGATAAATGCTGTTATTCCTTTGTACATTGCTTTATCAGGTGCTGTTTTTACATTCTTCAGTGGCTTCTCTCCATGTGCTGTAGCTCTGCCATTTCTTCTTGTCACACATTTTCTTTTTTTCTTTTTAAATTTATTTTATTTATTTATTCTTGGCTGCCTTGGGTCTTTGTTGCTGCCTGTGGGCTTGCGGGTTTTCTCTAGTTGCGGCGAGTGGGGGCCACTCTTCGTTGCGGTGCATGGGCTTCTCATTGCAGCAGCTTCTCTTGTTGCACAGCATGGGCTCTAGGGGCGTGGGAGTCAGTAGTTGTGGCATGCGGGCTCAGTGGTTGTGGCTCGCGGGCTCCAGAACGCAGGCTCAGCAATTGTGGTGCATGGGCCTAGCTGTTCCGTGGCATGTGGGATCTTCCCAGACCAGGGCCTGAACCTGTGTCCCCTGCGTTGGCACGCAGATTCTTAACCACTGCGCCACCAGGGAAACCCATTTTTTTCTTTTTTTTAATATGTATTTATTTGGCTGTGGTGGGTCTTAGTTGCGGCAGATGGGATCTTCATTGCAGCATGTGGGATTTTTTTTTTTTTAGTTGTGGCATGCGGGCTCTTAGTTGAGGCATGCGGTATCTAGTTCCCCAACAAGAGATTGAACCCAGGCGCCCTGCATTGGGAGTGTGGAGTCTTAACTGCTGAACCACCAGAGAAATCCCTGTCACACATTTTCTAATACTGCTATACATCCCCTTCATTATTTGTCTTTTGACTAGGTACCTGTCCATTCTCTCATTTAAGCTCTGTTTAGTCTCCAGATTACTGTGGTAGTATAGTGGACAAAGCCTAAGTTCTATTTCTGACCATCTCATTAATAACTTCTGTATCTTTAGGTTATAATCACATAACCTCTCTAGTTCTAAACTTGTTTATCTTTAAATGAGAAGGTTAAACTTTTACATCTTTAAAACATTTTTTTCAGCTTTCAGACTCTTTGTGACATTGCCTATTGGGCCAACTTCTTTCCTACCACTTCTGCCTCTACTTAACTCTACTCCATTGACTTATTATTTTCCCAGATTACAAGACTGTAAATATGCATTCTAATTTTTAGTAAGGTTATTTATTTCCTCCTGAGTTCAGTTCCTGTAATCCCAACACAGAAAATATGTTTTTATAAATGTTTTATTCCCCTCAGATTTGAAGAGCAGAGCAGATACCAAAGAGAAGACCATTAGAATATACTTTTGAGTGAGCAGTTCCATCACTGTCATCATGGAAAGGCTCAGAGGGGATGTGTTCAAAGAGTATTTATTTGAAGAAACCTGTGAATATGAGGCCAAGGTAGAAAAGCAAAAGGAGTACTCTATAGACAAAATTTCAAAAAAATCTGTTGCCCAAACCACTGGTTTTCAGCAAATAATAGTTGGCCATGAAGAAATATCTTGTGAGGAAAATGGGCATACTTTTAATGAGTTTGAGAGAGGTTTTGATCTAAGATCTAAACTTATCCCATGGAATGTTACTCATTCAGAAAAGAAACTACATATATTTGATCCATTTGGGGAAAGTGTCAAATGGAACTTATCTCCAATTAAAAGTCAAAGAGCTTCTAAAAAGAAAACTTATAATTGTAGTGACTGTGGAAAAAATTTCAGTGACCGTTCAAACTTTTTTCGTCATGAGAGAATTCATACTGGTGAGAAACCTTATAAGTGTGATGACTGTGGAAAAGCATTTATCCAAAGTTCATCTCTTACTGAACATCAGAGAACTCATACTGGAGAAAAACCCTATAAATGTAAAGTTTGTGGAAAAGCATTCACTGTAAATTCATCACTTGTTCAACATCTGAGAATTCATACTGGGGAGAAACCTTATAAATGTAATGAATGTGGGAAAGCCTTCAGTGACTACTCATCCTTTATTCAACATCAAAGAATTCACAGTGGAGAGAAACCCTATGAATGTATTAACTGTTGGAAGTCCTTCACTGATATCTCAACTCTTACACAACATCAGAGAATTCACACTGGAGTGAAACCCTATAAGTGTAATGATTGTGGGAAGGCATTTAGACGAAGTACACACCTTACCCAACACCAGAGGACTCATACTGGGGAAAAGCCTTATAACTGTAATGAATGTGGAAAAGCATTCAGTGCCCACTCAACCTTTACACAACACCAAAGGATTCACACTGGAGAAAAACCCTATACATGCAGTGAATGTGGGAAGGGCTTCCCTGAAAACTCATCCCTTATTAAACATCATCGAATTCATACTGGAGAGAAACCTTATGAATGTTGTGAATGTGGTAAAGCTTTTAGCCAGAGCACTCATCTTATTCAACATCAGAGACGTCATACTGGAGAGAAACACTTTAAATGTGATAAATGTGGAAAAGCGTTTGGTAACAGTTCAATCCTGATCAGACATCAGCAGTTTCACACTTTAGAGTCATCCTAATGATACTACAGTTTTGTGGACTACTTCATCCTTTCATGAGCCACTCTTACTTTTTGGTCATATGTCTCTTACCCATGCCACCCACTCTTGCTTACAATTAGAATTTCTAGGAATGTTGTATTCCTGGGATAAAGTAAAACATTACATAATATTTTAAATTTAAGTTTCCCATACTGACGCTGTTTTGTTAGGTGCATAGAGATTTAGATTGTTATGTGTTCTTGGAGAATTGGCCCTTTTTTCATACTTTAATGCCCCTTCTTATCCCGTAGTATCCTCCCTGTTCTGAAGTCTGCTCTGTCTGAAATTAATAAAAGTTACGTCAGCTTACTTTTGATTAGTGTTAGCATGACATATCTTTCTCCATCTCTTTACTTTTAACATAATGTTTGTTACTGTTTTCTATTCTTTGTGTTTTTGTTTCCTTTCTTCCATCTTTTTCTGCCTTCTCCCTCCACAATTTTCATCAAAAGTAGGCTATGACATCCCAAAGCACGAGGACCATCGGATGCTGCATGCGGTGGGGTGTGGGGGTCAGAAGGCACCTGAAGGTAAGAGTACCTCCAAACCTCACATTTGAAGTGTAGACTCTTTTCACAGTGGCTGTCCTGTGGCAGGATATTTTGCTATTAATTATAAACAAATACATAATTGAGCATTTTATGATTCCGTTGTATCTCTTGTGGTACATTAATTATATGTCTTTTAAAAACATTTTATTGGTTGCCTTAGAGCTTGCAATATGTGTTTTAAACTAAGTGCACCTTTAAGTAAAATGACACTGCCTCACATGTAATGCAGGTACGTTATATTAGAAGTATTCCCATCCTTTGTGGCATTGCTGTCATTTGCTTTACTTGTGCATATGCTATCACCCAATCACCCAATATGTTGTCATTATTATAGCTTTAAATAAACAATTATCTTTGAGATTTAAGAATAAGAAAATATGTTTATTTTACCTTCCTAAAATTTCCTCACTGACGCTCTTCATGTCTTTTTTTTTT